TAAAGAGACAGTACACCCACAAATATCCTTCACACACTTGTGTCAAAGCTAATGCAGATATTCTGATGAAACACTGGACTTTCATAGTATTTTATGTTTTTAATTAGTCTCCGGGAAGTGCTGTTTGGTGTTTCTGATGATATTCTGGGGTGTACTGTGCCTTTAAGAGGCTGTGTGACATTATTGATGTCTGCGCTGAGCTGTGAGCTATTGTAGATATGGTAAAACTTTACATTAATTACAGAAAAGCGGCAGATCTAATGCTACTGGGGTGTAAACACACAGCACAACATGTCTTCTTCAGTATGGCCACGAGCGATTGTGCTTCATTTGCATAACATAACGCTGAACATAAACAAAGAGACTCAGAGTGGCACTAAAATCTGAGATCCATCAGTGCTGACGGTGTGTGTGTGAGTGTGACAGGACAGAGACTTAATGCTTAATAAACTGATTATAACACACCTGAAAGACCACCAACACAAACAAACATTCATGATGAGCCTTCAATATCATTCATTTCAGCATCCAGCGTGTGCATGTGTGTGTGTGTGTGTGTGTGTGTGTGTCTATGTACTGTATATGCATGTGTGTGTGTGATTGTGTGATTCTGTGTGTGAGTTTGTTTGATTGTATCTGTTTGGGTATGTCTGTCTCTGTATATATGTGTGTGTGTGTGTGTGTATGTGTGTTCCTCTGTGTGTCTTTGTCTATGTGTATGCATGTGTGTGTGTGTGTCTGTAAGCAGGCAGTGAACCGATCATCAACAGAGAGAGTGAAAGTGCTGAGGATAAAGTGATTTCAAGTAACAGGAGTTCCTTATAAAAGGGGCGGGGCCAGAGCCCAGGGGAAACATCCTGTAGCTGACACCTCGTAGGCTCCTCCCCATACAGCATGTGACAGGAGCGTTGTCCAATCGGCTGCTGGCTGAGAATCCTGACAGACGAAGAGCATGAACACACAGACCTGACGATACACACACAGATTACAGCTCATACACGGAAATATTTAAATAAATAAACACACATACATACATATATACACAAATAGTGTAACCATCACAGATCTCTCTTTAACAGTTATATTTCCTTACAGTATGATTCTTTACAGGGATTTATTTGTGCAGGTATATTCACCGGCCACTTTATTAGGTACACCTGTCCAGCTGCTCGTTAACTGGTTTGAATGTAAATGTATTAAATTACTATTCCTGAAGATGTTCGGTGAGCAAACTCTCGTTTTAAGGGATATACAGTAACTGATGAATGAAACGTTTGTCTACATGCACCAAAATATATTGATATTAGTATATGAAAACTTTAATAATCGTATCTCAGTGAAATACTGCCGAGTCCTCACAATCCACACATCAATGCAGATTATTTCATTACTCATGCGAAACATAGCTGCTTTATTCAGTGGTGGAGATGGAGGTGAAATGTCTAACTTTTGAGACAGTAGAAAAAAAAGAAAAGACACTGAACACACACACACACACGCACACACACGCACACACACACAAGACTCATCACTGCAGAAGACAGACTCTCTGAGGTCAACATTGGGTCACACAAATCCACCTGACCCTAATCACACACACTTATACACATACACATACACACACACACACACACACACACACGCTCACACACACACACACACACACTCACCCGTGTGCTGGTCAACGATGGAGGATCTGCTCCTGCTCAACCTCTTCACCTTTTCCAGACCGCTGAGAAGATGACAGTTGACTAACCGACAGCTGCTTCTGAAACACACACACACACACACACACACACACACACACACACACACACACACACACACACCTGTATTTATGACCCGGTCTATATAAAAAACTGAATTATAAAAATAAAAATTAAAAACCAATCAAAATATAACTAAATAGTGTATTAATTAGCTAAATAAACTCAAATTAAATCAAGGGTGTTTCTGTGTGGAGTTTGCATGTTCCCCCACAGTCCAAACACATGCGCTATAGGGGAATTGATCAACTAAACTGGTCGTAGTGTATGAGTGTGTGTGTGAATGAGTGTGTATGGGTGTTTCCCAGTACTGGGTTGTGACTGAAAGGGCATCCGCTGTGTAAAACATGCTGGAATAGTTGGCAGTTCATTCCGCTGTGGCGACCCCTGATAAATAAGGGATTAAGCTCAAGGAAAATGAATGAATGTGTGTGTGTCAGTGTTTGAGGGTTTGTGCGTGTGTTTGTGTGTGTGTGTGTGTGTCTGATGTCTGTGTTTTTGCCTTGCATTTGTGTGAGTGTCAGCCTTTGTGTTTGTGTCAGTGTCTGTGTGTATGTTATGTGTTTGTGTGTGTGTGTATGATGTGTGTGTTTCACCTCGACCCTCTTCTTGTGCTCAGTGGCGCCTCCTGCTGCTCCTTCAGCTTCAGCACACGGTCTACACATGCGAATGTTCCTGCTGTCACACACCTTCAGGCACTTCCCACAGACAGCCTGCACACACACACACACACA